TTCAGACAAAAGACTACAAATTGGAAACAAATCCTTAACTTTTCTACACCCACGGCTTAAGAAAATCTGTGTTCGATTATTTGGATGGAAATAACGACCAAATGCTTAATATAACCAACGGCTTAGAGAAGTCTCAAGACAGAGATTACGAATTGAAAGCAGATTCCTTACTACCAACGGCTTAAAGAAGTCTTTAGACAAAGACAACGGATCGGTTATAAGACTACCTACGGCTTAGTCAAAATACTTAAAAGAAAGACAAAATGTTGGTTTTGAATGGGAAAAAATTACCAGCGGCTTGGAACATGTCCTTAGAGAAAGACTATGAACCATTTTGATGGAGAAAAAAAACGACCAAACGGCTTAAAGAATTCTTAAGACAAAGGCTTATAATTAGAGAACTATTTATGTTCGATAACTACCAACGGCTTAGAGAAGTTTCAAGACAGAGACTACCAATTGAAAGCAGATTCCTTTCTACCAACGGCTTAAAGAAATCTTTAGACAAAGACAATGGATCGGTTATATGACTTGCTAGATGTAATCATGTAAAACACTACCTACGGCTTAGAAAAAATACTTAAAGAAAGACAAAATGTTGATTTTAGACATGCTGGATGGGAAACAAAATGACCAGCGGCTTAGAACATGTCCTTAGAGAAAGACTATGAACCATTTGGATGAGGGAAAAAACGACCAAACGGCTTACAGAAGTCTTAAGACAAAAGGCTTATGATCCGAGAACTATTTATTTTCGATAACTACCAACGGCTTAGAGAAGTCTTAAGACAAAGACAGACGAGAACAGATTTTTCAATATACCACTCCCGGCTTAGAAAAATCTTGATCTTCTGATTGTTGTATGGAGTAGACGACCAAACGGCTTAAACAAGTCTTGAGACAAAGACTATGAATCAAAAAACACCAACGGCTTAAAGAAATCTTGAGACAAAGGCTTATAAAGTGGAAAAAGACTGGATTTGGTTTCAGTTTGTTGGATGGATATAGCGACCAATAGCTGAAAAAGAAGTATTTAAGACAAAAACTGTGGACTATTTCTTTGCGGTGACCATTAGATAAAGACAATGGAGATTGGTTTTCCACTTGCTGGAAGGAATTAACAAAAAACTATCTTTTGATTCGTTGGATGGAAAATACAGTCAACAGCTTCAAAGACTACGAATCGAAAACGGATTGTAGACATTACCTCAAAGCATTTACGTGAAGTAAAAGACTAATTAATTCTGTTTTTTTTTGTGTGTGCAGGTATGTGCTTCAGAAAGTGCTCTTAGGAGATTTCAAGTGTAGGTGATTTTTGTGACATGTATGTGATTTTCAAACTTGCTTATAATTAGTTTATGAAATTCACAAGTGTGAGAAACGTGTGAACTGTGAAGTAAAGACTAATTTTTATTTCCATATGACAGGGGCTTGGATACGCGTCCAAAATCTTAGAAGATTTATACATGTTAGCATACTTTAAAGCCTAATGTGCCCATTGACTTCTCTATGGTTTTTTCCTAATCACTTGAGAATTCAAACACATACACATACATACATACAAATTTGCATACTTGTTTACTCGCTTATATTCATATATGCTTGCATCCTTCATTGTTTACTTGCTTCCGTTTTCTTCTTTACTTGCTTTCTTGATTGCTTCTTTGCTTGCTTTTTTGATCTGTTGCTTTCTTCATTTCTTAATTGCGTTGCTTTCTCCAAACCTTGGTGATCATTCCAACATACATTATGACATCCTCACGATCTTACAGTTAAATTTGGTTCTTTTCTGATAAATTTTAGCATTCTGCATCATGTTTCTTACATTGATGATTATTGTCAATGTCTTTTGATGAACTTTACCATTTGACTTGAGATTTTACAAAACAAATGATTGAAAATAACTTTGTTATGGTATTGTCTGTCACTTCGTCTTAACAGAATACATTTTCACTTGCTCTCTTTGTCTTAACAGAGTTGATTGTCACTTGGTCTTAAAAGAATTGTTTTTCACTTGGAAATCTATTTAATTATTGGTGTATCTATTTAGAATGTGCAATTGATCTTGCTTGATTTTCTTACCATACTTTTTTGTTTTAATAACACTTTTGTGGCTGGTGTTTAAATCAAGAAATTAGCTCTTTCCAATATCCCGTTTGCTAAGTGTTTGACTCTCTAGTAGAGAGGTTTATGCTAAGTGTTTGACTCTCTAGTAGAGAGGTTTACGTACAAAATCCAGCTTTATGTTTGTTACTAGTTGAAGTAGCACATTGGTCATAGTTATTATCATAGAAGAGTTTGTAATGTGATTATGATCACAGTTTGTTACTATATATTACATGTGATTACTGAACTAATAAGGTCTTGTTCTTAGTCCATATTCCTTATTACGGTTATATATTGCAGGTAAATTCAGTTGTAATCTTTCAATATAATATTCTGGTCTTGTTGTTCTTATTCCACACATACATACATACATACAAACTTGCTTACTCTCTTACATTCATATTTGCTTGCATCCTTCATTGTTTACTTGCTTTTGTGATTTTTTGTTACTTCCCTGGTTCCTTGCTTTCTTCGTTGATTGCTTATTTGCGTGCTTCCTTAATTCATGTTCAGGTTTTTTTTTTCCAAACCTTGGCGATCATTCCAAACATACATTATGACATCCTCACAATCTTACAGTTTACATTTCCTTCTTTTCTAATCAATTCCAGCATTCTGCATCATGTTTCTTACATAGATGATTATTGTTTATTTTTTTACTTGAGTTTTTACAAAACAAATGATTGAAAATAACTTTCTTATGGTATTGTCTGTCACTTTGTCTTAACAGGATTAATTGATTTTCACTTGGTTTATTTGTCTTAATCACTTGGAAATCTATTTAGAATGTGCAATTGATCTTGCTTGAATTTTCTACCATGCTTTTTGTTTTAATAACACATTTGTGGCAGTATCTGGATTCTAATATCCCGTTTCTGATCTTATCTGCTCTTTAGGTCGACTTAAAACTATTCTCTGTCCAATTTCCCGTTTGCTAAGTGTGTTTGATCTCTAGTAGAGAGTTTTACGTACAAATTGCAGCTTTCTGTTTGTTACTAAGAAAAGTAGCACATTGTTCATAGTTACTATCATAGAAAAGTTTGTTACATGTGATTACTGTAGTAAGAAGGTCTTGTTATTTGTCCATATTGCTTATTACGGCTATATATTGCAGATTTTATGTTTGCTTTCAAATCTCTTAAAGTACTCGTTTGAATTCAGTTGTTATCTATATATATCTTGCACTTCTGGTCTTGTTGTTTTTATTCCATATGTAACCTTTTAAAAGAAAATTATTGTTGTTTGTTTGTTTGTTGAAAATGGACAATTTTAATTTTAATGTTAGGTTATCTATATTATTGTATTTTTAGGTTTTTATATTACGAGATTTGTGAGGTGAACACAATTCTTGCATTTTGGTTGCTTGTCATTGGTCATTCTTTGTTATGATCTTACTATTTTTTGGTACGGTCGAATGATAACCATCTTGGGCTTTGTGACTTTTGTCTTAATTTTGGAATAGTTGGTTGGTGTGGTAAATTGATTGAACTTTCTTGGGGTGTTTTAGTCATAATTTGTATACACTTATATTATATAATATGTCTATGATGAATGGTATGCATATATTAAGGTTTTACAAATGATATTTTGAAAATATTTGTATTTAGAAACAGTTTAAACTTTAAAGCATTCGGTCTATTATTAATTCCAAAATGAGTTACTTAATACATTATCGTACTAAACTAAATGATAAAGTCGCTTTCTTGTCTATCTTATGGCTTAAGATGTTATTGTTGGTTTCTTGAAAAAAGAGATCTAACGTTGGATCCTTTGGGGAAAACGTGAATCGTTTTCATTAGACTAAAACAGTTTCTAAGATGTTGCTCTCTTTTAAACTGTTGTTTCTTTGATGTATTGGGGATTATATGATAGTTAGGGATCTGGAAATCAAATAATTGTTTTGCTTGTGGTTTGATTGTTTACGGATTTACAAGTATCTTGAAAGGTTAACCGATGTGTCATCATGAAAAAGACCGATGATAATTTATAACATTATATTCCGCTATTAGCTAGAGCCGATGATTATTCGACTATCAAAAAAGGGTGAAATAGCGGCTTTATACAGATCCATAACACGATACACCTTACATATCTATCACATGCAACATATTATTATTTAGTCTCACATAACACAAAGTCGGAATTAAATATTGATTCCGCATACATTGATACATATTGAGAGAATAATCATTTCTTACCACGTAAATCTTTGAAGTAGTCTTTTGGGTTGTCTTCAAAATCTTTCCTGGGAATAAAACCATCTTTTCCAGGAGCCTTCATCATCTTCTCTTCTGAACCTTTATCTTCCGAGCCCGAGCCCATCCACGAGAGTAGACCCGCGACTGCACCAACGGCTCCAGCGATAGCTATGACTTTGGTTGCTGTATCATAAAAATTCGACTTCTCATCTTTGTCATCCTTTGTCTCTTTGCTGTTCATTTTGATAATCTCTCTTTTTTCTTTTAATTTGTTGACTATTTGGAAATGTGAGTCAGCATATATAATCGGAAATCATTCGGAAAATATTCATAAAATATTCTCTAAAGGTAACTAATTAATGTAGTTTGCACTGATAATAAGATATTGGGAATTTAAACAATTTAAACATTTGTTGCATCGTTATTTCCCAGAATATGACATTTGGATTACGAATTACATGCATTGGTGTCCAACAATGGTGCACTAGTAACATGCATTGGTAGAAAAAAGAAAACAAAAACAAAGGTGTTGAAAATGTGACAACACTTCAAGCCATTTATTCAGTGTATCCGACATAATGTACTCAGTCGGAAGTGGGAACTGTAGAATATAGTAATGTCTCGATTATTAATTGTTATCACTGATGATGTAAGTAAACAACACAAAGAAAACTTTGTAAAATAAAAAGAGGCATTTTAGCAACCAACTGGAACTGTAGAATAGTGGGGTAACATGACAAGGGTTGAATCCTTCTTGATTTTGTAGTCAGCTAGGGTTCGTCCGTTTTCGAGCTCCTCGCCTTGAAAGATCAGTTGATGCAGTCCTGATGGTCCCCCTTCACATTGGACCTTGTCCATGACGTTTTCAATGGTTTCTGTCCCCTCAACCATAAAGTTGAACGTTCCCCGCTTGAAGGTCGATACATAGATCCGCATCCATGCCTTTGGATCCCAATCCGGATCCGGTTCCGGACCGAGACGAAGAACCAATCGACGGGTTGCTCCATGGATCTTGAGGTCGATTGTGTCCGAGCTATCGTCAACCTCTAGGTTTATGTTCTTTCCATTCGCCGTCGTGATAGAAATCTCCATTGCACCACCTGATAGTTCTCTTCTTTCTGACTCTGGTGGTTTCGTTTTATAACCAAAATGCATAATAAACGAATGAACTTTAATACTTTATAGTAAAGTCTATAGCGGATTTAAACAGTTTAAAGCATTTGTTCTATTCTTATTTTGAAAAAAGAAAGAATGATTTTTGTATATTGTAGGCTAAAGTCGCTTTTTTGGTCTATTGATTAGAGATATCTTATGGCTTAAGATTTGCTTTGTTTTATTTAAAAAAAAATGTTACGAATAAAGGTGATTTCTTAGTTAATGTTTAGATTACATTTTTCAGTGGATAAAGGATTCATCAAAAACAAATATAAATCTCAATTTAGAGGCATGGCTTGTTTAGAGAAATATAATACTGAGGTAACGTTGAATCATTGAATCTAATACTCTCTATTAGCTACATAAAGGAGGACGTTTGAAATGAATATATGACTAAAACTCTAAAACACATCACACATCTTTGGCGGTTAGTTTTATTTAAAATAATCATGTAATTGTCACTCTGATTTGTGTCATTTACAAGTACTGTATCTTGTAGTGTTAACCGGGTTTAAATTTACATCTTAAATGGTTAACCGATTTGTCATCATATTGAAAGAAATAGGCCGAGTATTATTATTATTCGAACATTAAACAAGAGTGAGATACACGTGACATATCTATCACATGCAACATATTATTATTTAGTCTCATACTAATACAGTGTCGGGGAATATAGATTCCGCATACATATTCAGAAATACTCACTTCGTACCACGTAAATCCTTGAAGTAGTTTTTGGCGTTGTTCTCGAAATCTTTCCTGACAATATAACCATCTTTTCCAGGAGCTTTCATCATCTTGTCTTCCGGAACTTTCTCCTCCGAGCCCGAGCCCGAACCAATCCACGAGAGTAGACCCGCGACTGCTCCAACAGCTCCAGCGATGCCTATGACTCTGGCTCCGGTTTCATAATATCTTGACTTTTCATCTTTGTTATCCTTTGTTTCGTTGGTGTTGTTCATTTTGGTATGATGATACAAGAAAAAAAGCTTTCAACTTCTTCTAGTTTCTCTTTTTGTTTTTGATTGTTTGACTTAAAAAGGAAGGGTTATGTGACTTATATAGTTGCAATTTGGGAATGTGAGTTAATGTATATCAGAGTTCAAGAGAAGAATATATTAAAAAAAAAAAAAAGTCTTTGTGACTTATTAATGTAATTTCACTGGGAATTGAAGGATATAGCTCATCGTTAGTTCCAAAAAAAATGAGCATCTGGTTACATGCGGTTCAGTTAAAGATTTTTATGTTTTCTTTCAAATCTCTTAAATTACTCTTTTGAATAAGGTTTATATTATAACTGTATAACATTAGTATAGCTTTCTTATAACAAACCAGATGCATAAACATGAAAATGACACATGAACCGGATTTAAAGGACCCAATACATCAAGGCTCTACTTTCTAGTTACTAAAAGTTTAAATGGGTGTTTAACCCGCACAAAAGAAATAGAGTGGTCGATAAAATAATAATTTCTTATTGGAGTTGAGCAAAAAAATTATGTAGAAGTTTTTATCTACAAGTGGATTCAAGTCCAAAGTGGCAAGTTGGATAATTTATGAGACAAGTATACTGTCAGTATGCGTTGTTATTATGTTTTAAAGAAAATCTTCACTGCAAAAGCAAAGTGAAGTTACTAGTTTTGAATAGGTGCCTGTATTTATATGCAGTAATGATTAAGGGATACAAAGCAATAAGCTCTAGAGAGAATGCATCTGAAGGATTCATATCGTTTATTTCCTCCTCGTTTTCTTCCACTTCACGTGTTAAGCGATCATTAACTTGTATATCTGAAAGTTGCTCGAGGCCATGTAAATGCCTCCTCAGCATCTCAGCGTGTGTTTCCTTCAAGCAAGCTTGTTAAACATCAAGATAGTCAGTGAGTATGCGAAATGCAAATCCTCTGTTTTGAATCATTCTGACATTCTGCTTCTCCTTTTGTTCTTGAACTTCGTACAATAAAGGAGACAGAGGTAGTTTATGCCGACCTCGCAATTCAGCCAAATTTCAATACGTAGGTTTTTTGTGTACTTGTCTTATACATATGTTGATAATAGTCATAAGAGATGCTCGAAAAGCTATGCTATCTCAACGTCTTAGTTGCTACTTGCAGAATAACTAATCTAATCACAAGCTTCGACTCTGTGTATATACTACTGTCGCAACATAACTGATTCCGAAGACTGAATATGTTATGGAACTGAACTAGGACTTTATAAGACACAGCAAATGGTTTGTGTTTATCCTTTGGAGAAGACAACAAGAAATATATTTTTACTTACTTGCAAGCTCTGGTGTTTACAGAATCGTTGATCACGTCATTCTTCTGTATCAATCGACCATCGATCTCTTCTTGACCACTCACATTCCCTTCCTTGTCCAAAGTCAACGATATCGCAGTGTCGGGTGCCAAGTTCATACGCTTTGCGATCTCTTGAGATGTTTTTTCTTTAGCCATAATCTCCAACTACTTTCCTAGTATGATAAACGATATGAGCATGGCGCTAGTCTCAAGGAAACCAAACTCCAAAGAACGACTTAGTATTGCTTAATCTGCTCTTGCTTTTGAGATTCTCTGCCTACTCCTCCCTCTGAAAATATCGTTGCCTTGATGTGATGTGACCACTGTGACCAAAGACAGTAGACTCAAATCACCCGAATGAAGGAGCATAAAATTAAAGACAAAATTAGAAGAACTGCAAAAAGTTGCAATTTTCAGGTATAAGGTTTCAAGCTTTCAATGTATACAAAGTTGCAATGCTCTGTGCATTTCTAAATGCAAATTTTGATACTAATTTAACAAGAGCACAAATCAAGTTAAACAGATATGTTTGCCACAAGATTAAAGAGAAAACTGCAAAAAAAAAGCTTCTTGATTCTGAAATTTTCAGGCATAAAGTTCGAAGCTTTATGTGTGAACAACACTCACAATCGTATCAGTGCAATGCCCATTTGTCACATTGCATTTGCATCGACCCTGAAACATAATTGAAACCCATGGATACATATGAACAAACTTCAAAGAAATGGTCTCAGAACACTTAATGCTATGGGTTACGGTTAAATGTTTTCAGAATTCTACATCTTGGGTTAACAAACCATGTGACAAGAGACTGAACAAGTAAAAATGTGAGACTTTATTATTTATAGGTCAAAAGTAAGAACTACATCATAGACAGTGGAAACAAACCATATACTATAGACCGAATGTCAACAGATCAAACCTAAAACAAGAGCTACAATAGAAACATATTTCGTTTGTGAAAAAAAAACCCTAATTTTAGATCAAATTCGTTAAAAAAATCCCTAATTTTGCATCAGATTTGTAAACCTTGCAGGATTTTCTCTACCTTGACTCGATCATTCCTTGCCTCGGCTCGAGCAATCATGGCTTTGGTTTGGACAATTTTTGATTGAAGGCTAGCTCCCATCTTCGCCATCCTCTGCATCGAAACTTGCAAAAACATCCTCTTCAGGCGATGAGGTTGGCCTCTCACGAAGTTTTCATGTCCAAACTCCAATTGTCCAGTCCCCTTGACTCTTTCAAATCCATGATACTCAAGCTCTGGGATAAAGCGTTTGCCCAATCCAACGCGGAGAATCTCTCTGCGAAGCCCTTTTAGATCCCGCACGATGAAAGTGGTGTTGCTTTCGCTCCAAGAGATGATTGCATCCGACGATGGATCATCCACCATCTTGTACACTCTGATGTAGAAGGTGTTGAAAGATAAATTTAGATTTTGGATCATGCTTAAATATTGGGTTAATGATCCAATAATAATTGGGCCAAAACCCAATTATGCTTAATCAAAGATTCTAGAGTTTTTTCTAGAAAAATCAACACTTCCACCTCCTTAAAATGTTCTAGAGAGTTGTAGAGAATAAATATCTGGAGATTTTTCTAGATAATTGTTGTAAAATAATCTAGATATTAAGATAGAATTCTCTAGATTTAGGAATAAAATATTTTAGATATTTTGTACTTTGGAGGCTATAAATAGCTACCTCCTCTCTCATTTTGGAACTAACAAGCTAAAGAAATAATAAGGGAAGTTAAGTGAAGTTCCTAAGCTCTATAAGTTCTAAAACTTTCTTCTTCTTAAATTTGTTCCTTTGTCTTTCAAATTCTTAAACACTTTCTCCATCACTCTTAAAAGTTTTTCTTTCCAACAGAAGGAAGGCAATCCCTTCGGGAAACTGTGAGTCATCATCGTCTTTGTAGAAACCCTTGATTCCCGAGATGACGAAGATCGAGAAGAACCCGAATCTGATCAAAGCGCGAATAGTCGCAAGTAGAAGCAAGAGATTTTCGATTAGGGTTTTAAGGATTGTCGCGAAAGGTAAACCAGAGAGAGAGAGAGAGAGAAATTTTTAGGACTCGTAATGAAAGTAGACCTTTGCTTTCGGAGGTTATGTTACATTCGATTTCATTAGCTGAGCTTAAACCTAGGCCTGTTATCAAACGGGCCGAAATAAATTATTGGATATTTTATTTTATTTTGTCAATAACTTTATAATATCTTTAATATTATAATTTGAATTGTTTTATATTTACTTGTAATTACTAATTACTAAGTACTAGATTTTGACATAAGCATTGTACAGATTTATGTTGTCAAACGGGCCGAAATAAATTATTGGATATTTTATTTTATTTTATTTTGTCAATAACTTTATAATATCTTTAATATTATGATTTGAGTTGTTTTATATTTACTTGTAATTACTAATTACTGAGTACTAGATTTTGACATGAACATTGTACAGATTTATTTATTAATTTAATTTAAAATCTATAATTTTATATATTTATATTATTATTATGTATATATTTATTGTATATTATAGTGTGTTATAGGTTTTTTTTGTTAAATATTTTTTTTTGTTTTCTGGTTGTCCTAAAATAAATAAATAAATAAATAATTTATATTGTAAATAGTTTTTCTAATTGTGATGTATTAATTGTTAAAACAATTTTTACTCATTTTCAATCACAAATTGTCTTTTATTTTATTTTTCTCATTTCCTATTGTTCTTAATCATACCATTTTAATTTACGATATATTGTAATCATACTATTCTGATTACAATATATTGATCGTTTCAGTTAAGAAATTTTCTAATATCTTTTAAAAGTATGATAAAAGACTGGAATTTTTTTTTATCTGTATATCCCAAATCAAAATTATTTAGTAGATAGTTTATTTAATCCTTTCAAACACAGTTTTTTTGCTGTTCTTTGCACAATTTTAGGGTTTTTTCGTATTATCATTTGACATTTTCATCCAAATAATCTATTCAAATGTTTTATTCAAATGCTCAATCTAAATGTTGTTTATTATATTTTTGGTTGATCTTATTGATCCATCTAAATGTTATTTTTAGTTGGTTCTACATTTACATTTTCTTCTAAACAATTTTAATAATAAAATGACTAAAATACTTAGTTTAGACAGAAAATACGATTTTTCAATTTTAGCAGGAAATTGTTAAATATTGCCTTATAACCAGAAAGAGAGATATAGTATGATGATCATGTGTATATAATTTCCAAGGCAGGAGAGACTTTTATTTAACAATGAAGAACCATGAACACAACAATTGTTTTGGTAAATGAAACAAAAAAATGTGGATTGGTTCAGTAGCCAAATTACTTTGAGAAAACAAAATTGTGTTCCTAAATAGATAATAGAAAGTAAAATAAAACTATAATTATCCTACTACTTTTCTTTCTGTAGAATTTCTGTTACTTGCTAATTTGCCGATGTGTGTGCCTCCGATATATCCACCTGACCAAGCATGCTGGATAAACCAATACTTCCCGAATTAATACGCCGTGTTAACATTTTGATTGCGTCTTATGCACTTAAAACTCATGATTTTCATTTCTACTTAATAGCTATGTTCACCTGGAAATTGAAGCCTCCTGTAACTCCATCTACATTTAGTACCTGAAGACACGAATGTAAGAAAAGATATGATGCTACGATGGTCATGACATGTGTATGTATGTACATATATTGGTATATGTGTGTGAGCGACTAAATACTGCTTTAAACATCGTAACCATGTTTACCTCTCCTGCAAAGAAAAGATTCGGAGCCAATTTGCTCTCCATAGTCTTCAAAGAAATCTTGAAACAGTAAGAGACATTGTAAAATCAGATTTAGTAAGAAACACCGAAAAAGGATTGATTTAAGTTCTTTAATAACGAAAACCTCGGATAAAGGAACTCCTCCTGCTGTCACAAACTCATCTTTGTATTGACCCTTTTGCAGCAACATAACAAAACACTATGTCATCATCATTATCATCTTGACTTGAGTAGTATGATCAAATCTTATAAGTTTCATGTTTGATGTTATTTACCTTTCTAGTGACTTGAAATGTACAATGTTTAAGAAGATCGGAAATAGAGCTCAATGAGTTATTTGACAATGAAGCCCACAAGGTATCTCTTAAAGAACCCTGCTTCATCATGAAGACAGTCAAGGACATTAGTATATGTTTAAGAGGTTTTCCGATATGGAAAAGCTATGAAAGAATGTTTGGTAAGAACCTCGCGGGATAGAATGTAACTCCAGAATCTATTGACAAGACCGAACTGCTGAGGAAAGGAATTGGATACTTTATGCTTCTGCATTAAACAATGCTCAAGCTTTTAAAAAATCTAAGACAAGAAACAAAGAGAAGAAAAGAGTAAAAGTATGAATTGTTGTTACTGAAAACTGCAGCTTGTGTTGTTTGAGTACAGATTTAGCAGCTTCGATGTTAATATCCGGTACGAAGTCAACAGTAAGAAGCCCTGCAACCAAACCATATCAACCTAATTGGAACATATTTTCAGTAACTACATCGAGTTCAGTTATTTCTGCAGATGAAACATTCAGACCTTTGTACTCAGAACTGAAAAGATGTCGTGCACCCCATGCAGAGAGACGGAGGATAACTGGTCCACTTAGTCCCCAATGTGTCACAAGCATTGGACCAGTCTTGAAAGAAAACAACATTAATTTTGAGCTTATCCTCCTGATAAAGAATGTTAAAAGAATTTAAGAATTGCAAGGGGAAGAGAGATGCACACCTGCACAAGGTTTGACAAATCCGGGCGTGGAGTTTCTAAATTTAGTTTGGCTTGGACTTTGGAGAAACTAATCTGAGAAAGAGCAAGTAACACTCAGTCAAAACTCATAACACTTTTTCGTTCAAGGCAGTATTAGTAATAGATGAAAATTACCCCTGCAACGCAGCCATCGATGGATCATTGATCTTAAAAGTGAATAAACTCGGTACTGGATCGACAATGGAATGACCAAATTGAGTGGCTAAAGCGTGACCCTGAAACATAATTGAAATACATCTTAGGAAACATGACAACCATTACAATGAAATGCCTTAAAGAAAAAGAATTCTTGTTCTTTAAATGGGATATTATAACCTGTTTGCTACTTCCGGTTGCAATAAGAAGAAATGAAGCTTCGATAGATTCAGAAGTGTCATCACTTCGCTTCCCAACTTTAATAACGAACTTTCCATCGGGTTTAGTAGAAGCACTTAACACAGACTTTCCTCTCTCAAGCCTAACTGGTTCAGGAAATTAAGAGATGTTTGAAGAGACAGAATAGTTAAGAAGAATGGATATTTCAAGAGATGTGTTATTAATACCTCCTCTAACATTTGCTTCATTCAAAAGACAATCAATTACAGAAGTTGAATTATCGCTCACGTAGAACACTCTCCATCGTCTTCAACCTGTTGGATACTAGAGTTGGACGGAAATGTGGAATAAGACAAACATCTCTGAATGTTAAATTGATGGAAAGTCACAACCTTTAGTGGCACTCCATGCTCAGGAAATCAAGACATGGTATCAGCAGGACCATGTGTGAAGAAAAATGAACCTTTAAGCTCTTTATTACCACGAGGATAATTCTCTGCCAATCTCTACATACAAGTTTAGTTATTGGGTTAACAAAGTATCAAATCAACCGAAAAACAGATATGCTTCCCACAAGATTAATATAAAACTAGAATAAAGCTTCATGATTCTGCAATTTTCAGGCATAAAGTTTCAAGTTCTCAATGTGTATAAAGTTGCAATGCTCTGTAAAGCTCTACATGCAAATTCGTTACTACTTTAACAAGAGCACGAATCAAGTTAAACCAATATGCTTCACACAAGATTAAAGAGAAAGAAAACTGCAAAAAAGCTTCATGACTCTGCAATTTTCAGGCATACATTTTGAAGCTTTATGTGTGAACAACACTCACAATCGTATCAGTTCAATGCCCATTTATCACATTACATCGACCACCACCAGAAATCTTCACCTGCGAAATGCATAAAGACTAAACCTATGAACAAAAAAAAACTTACAATTTTTTCTCCAATTGAGTTTAGCCAATGGAAAGAAGAGACGAAACCTTAGAAAGAAATCTCCCTTTTTCAATAACCAAAACTCTCAGATCAGGTGAGAGAGTTTTAGCCCTCATTGCTCCATAGACTCAAGTTCATTGCCCCCTCAAAATCTCCACACTTTTTTTCTCACTTGATCCTTAGGTTATCGATTCGAAGTTTGTGTAAACAAAAAAAGTTTGATTCTATCAGTAAAGTAAACCCCAACCCAGAAAACTACCCGTTAAACCCTTCAGGTTAAAGAAGCAACGGTGATGATGATGATGATAAAGATTTCAGAACGACATCGTTCCTTCTTCAGCCCAAAACGACGTCGAATTCAAATGTTGGTATTCTATCAGAATTTATACTTGAAAAACAAATGATTGGCCCATAGAACAGCAACAAGAGCGCCAAAAGTTACCAACTTTACGTCTTCCTCGAATTAAATGCCGTTGGCATTGAATTAAACGCTTCGTATATCTCTGTGACACATAAGAAGATGGTAAAACTCAAAAGATTTACTAACTTTTCGTCTTCCAACAAGAGTCTGTGACCCTTTAGAAACAAAAATGTCTTCGTTCAGTGGTCCGTCCATGATGAACAGTGATGCTGCTGCTACTGAGTTTGGTCATCAAATAAGACGAGTGACATTAGAGAAACAAAGCGAAATCAGGATCCAAGTGCATCCCTTTTCCCCTCTCAAACTCCGTGTGCTCGATGGCCTAGTTGAGATTTTTGGTTCCGAGCTTCCACCAGAAGTGTGGCTCACGTTTCCACCTCGCCAGCAATTCGCTGTATGTTCTTAATTACAACTCCTTTTGTAACGACCAAATTTTAATTTTATGTAGTTATGGTTATGTTTTTCGAAATGGGTTCTTGAGTTTTTTCATATTTTCATCCTATGGTCTTCAAATGTTTAAGCTTCTGTCAAATTCATGCATCCTCTTTCCTTTTGTAGTTAAAATGGTCATTAAGTTGGTTACATAGTAAGTTGTAATCTTTATGGTTTTTAGTTGAAGATCTATAAATTACATATAAAACTGCTCACTTTCAGGTCTTCACATGGTATTTTAACAGTCAAATTTTAATTTCTATTGGGGATTATGGTTATGTTTTTCAAATTAGGGTTCTTGAGTTTTTGTCAAAATTTTATCCTATGGTCTTGCTATATACGTAGGTTGGCTGAAAGGTTTGATGAGCTTTATGTAGTTTCTGTCAAATTCATTCTCATTCCTTTTGTAGTTAAAATGATCATTGATAATTGTTACATAGTAAGTGAGTTTTAATCAATGACTGTTTATAGTTAAAGATCTATAGATTTACATATAAAAGTTCTTGACTTTCAGGTCTTCACATGGTATGGTGCAACAATCGAACTAGATGGCGTCACAGAAACTGAAGAAACATCAACTGAGGTAAGGTTATAATTTCATCCACAATTAGTTCATATGATATAATTGTTGTTTTGCTTACAAACATTGTCTCTGTTCTAGACACCAATGGTGAGCTATTTAAATGTGCACAACTCTCTCCAAGTACAAAGACATCGTGTTGTGTCATCAACAAGCAATTATGTCTCTTCACAGGTACTTATATTTGTTCTTACTAAAAAATTGATTATATCCATGTAGTAACTTCAAGAAATTGGCTTGATGCAGTGGCCAAGAGTTATCATTGTAGGGGATACTGACTCTGGGAAGAGCACATTAGCTAAGATGCTTCTTAATTGGGCAGCAAAAGATGGTTTCAAACCAACATTTGTTGACCTTAACATCGGCCAAAGCTCAATAACCATACCAGGAACCATTGCTGCTACCTCTATCAAGATGCATGTGGATTCTGTTCATGGATTTCCTCTTGATAACGCTATTGTGCATTACTTTGGTCACACTACACCAACGTAATTTACTTCGAGTTCTCCATCTTTAACTAAACTTATAACTTGAGACTTATTTTATTTTTTGTACTATCAGCAACAACCTTAGACTGTACAAGGCCCTTGTTGAAAAGCTTGCTCGAGAATTAGAAGAAGTTTTTGCTAGAAGCGCTGAATCTCGACATTCCGGTATGGTAATTGACACAATGGGATGGACCAATGGTCCCGGTTATGAGGTGATTAATAGCTTCACTTTTATATATTCGCAATGAACTAGACTCTTTCTAATTTGGTATAATGTTCTCAAATTTTCAGCTGCTTATTCATGCAATAAGGAAGTTTAATGCATCTCTAGTTATCGTCCTTGGTCAAGTAATGTCTTCTCTGGCTTTATCCTAAATCAAGAGACCAGCATTGCCTTTATTTATCTTTATCGTTTGCAGGAAACTGATCTCGTCAATGATCTGAACAATTCTCTTAAATTCAAGAAGAATGTACGAATCTTGAATCTTGACAAGTCAACTGGAGTTTTCTTCAGGGGCTCTGATTATCGCAAAACATTGAGGAACAACAACATTAAGGTATTCATTAATAAGGTTTCTTTCTATGTTGGATTAAATCAGAGGGATTTTTGAATTTACTTGTTTTACAGAAGTACTTCCATGGAGCCACTAACGATCTCACGGCCTACACCAAAACCGCAAAGTTCAGTGATGTGAAAGTATATCGAATCGGTGACTTTCCTGAGAGTAGGTCAAGATCTGCACAAAGAACTTATAATGATGACGCTTTGAAGATCACATCTGTGGAAATTGGTGAACATCTTTTGAACAAAGTTCTTGCTATCTCATACGCCAAAGAGCCTAACCAGATCATCTCAAGGTAATTAGCATCTCCAACTTTGTATGATTAAACATAAGCTATATGGATTGGAGAAATCGTTTAATTTTGCAGCAAATGCCAATTGTCGTTTTGCAGTATTGTTGCTGGATTTGTGTGTATCAAGGATGTTGATATTGGTAAAGAGAGAATTACATATATCTCTCCATCAGCTGCAGAATTTCCTAGCAACATATTGGTCATGGGGACTTTGACATGGCTTGAAACTTGAGGAGCAAGAAATTAAACAGAAGAAAGAATGAGGAGTTATGTTTTTTGTATGTTTAAAACCCTAAAAGTGAGGACAATGCTTCGAACAATATTTCTTCTACTTGCTCTGGTTTGTTAAATCAATGGAACATTTGACGAAAATTTGTTTTGTTTTTTTGGAATATCTTTATATAGCTGCAATATCCATAGAGTTTTTTTATATATAAAAAGGGCTAATATCCATAGATTTATGATTCAACGAAATTCAGGTAAATACAAAGCTCTGCTTTTGTTTCTTATTATCTGAGCTTTAAGCCTAGTGAGAGGCCCTTAATGCTCTGGTAAATGTGCAGGACGATGGAGCATTCGCCATAGCCCAAGCTCTTACATGGATAAACCTCGGGAACAACTTTATCTCCAAATTAATATTAAGGTAAATATATAGTATAAGGAACTTCTAGTAAATAAAATTGATTACCTAAATTTTTGTTAATACCAAGAAAATGAAATTTGAACAAAAAACTGTAAAATTTAACACAAAAATAAAAGTTATGGAGTTGAAGTACATATCTTAGGAAATAAGCTTTCTTTTTGTTGTTGTCAATAGGAAAAGTACATAAACAAATCTTCAATTATCTAAAACCTATATAATGAATTCTGAAAAATTATTCCAAAACTACCATTTAAATTAAAAGAAAAAACATATATAGAACATGTTTCTTAAAAGAGTATTTCTAATAATATGGATATTTTCTTATTTGACATCTCAATTATATATTTCAAAATTTTCTAATCATAAGATATTAAGAAGAATACCTCACATCAAAAATATGATGAGATCTTGAGCAATATATAAGGGTGATAAAAGTTTTTTACTCATTGTCAATATTGATTTTGAGTTGTAAGCTAAGAAAACTTAAGTTGAGTTAATCTTTTCCCGTAGCCTTTGTATATAGAGAAACTGTAGCGAATGGCCTCAATTAATACCGAATTTAGCTATTCGTTTCTGACACCTTTTTGTCACGTCTGTTCATAATACAAAGACTTTCGTACCCTTATGTTTACAATTCATTAAAATTTATTGTATCTTAGACTCCACATTTACATCTTTGATACAGGCCGATAAGATTATCTTTGGTGATGGTCGGTGAAGGTGATGGCTTCAGTGGTGACGGCGATGAAGTCGCCGGTGGTGGTGGTGGTGGTGGTAATGGTGTCATCGATAGTGGTGATGATGATAGTTGTGGTGGTGACGACGGCCGGTAATGGTGGTGGTGATGTCGATGCCGGCGGTGGTGGTGATTGTCGGTGATGGTGATGGTGGTGACAGTATCGGTGGTGGTGGTGGTGGTGGTGGTGATAAGGTAAAGGATGATATTAACGTTAACACGTTAGTTATCATACTCGCAACGTTAGTATCATAAATTTTTGATATGATAACATTGTTAACATGACAATTTTGCATAATTTATATAGTTAACAAAGTTAACTCCTATTTTTTATGAAATAATAGCATTATTAACATAATAGTTACCATGTTAACTCGATATTTGTACAATGTGTTAATCGAACAAAGTTAACTCTTATTTTTCATGAAATAATAGCAACATTAACCCGACAGTTATCATGTTAACTTGATATTTGTACAATGTGCTAATCGAGCATCATATAAATTAGTATAGTTAACCGTTATCATGATATCATGTTAATTATCATGGTAATTTAATTGTTATCTATCAAACCCGCATCAAATAATTATAAAGGTAGAATAATCATAATTTCTATATATAATATGTATTAACCTAAATTTTGATTATTAGTTCTATTTTCCTAATTTTACTATTATCTAAATCCATTTACTAAATTTTTTCCATATATAACACGTATCGTGTATATGGTGGTTTAATTTACATTAGTTTGATTCGGTTTGGTTTTTGTTTGCCAATCGAGGATCTGACCGGTTTTTAAACGGCACGATCTGGTAAGTTAAACAACAGGCTGTGCAAATTTGGAGAGAAAAGACAGCATATTGTTTACGAAAGAAGGATCTTCGCCACACAGAGAGAGAGAAGAGAGGCAGAGAGAATAAGCTTTGCTTGCTTAATCAAATGTGCTTGGAAGTTGGAAGAAGTGAGGCTGCGGCTGTTGCTGCGTCTGAATCTGAGACCGGTCGAGTCATAAATCGAATATCGATAGATTTCATTTAAACGAGATAAAGGAATCTTCAAAACTGGAATCTATCGATATTCGATTCATGGGTCGATGAGTTTTCAGTGGAATTAACTGAATTTGAGATTTTGATTTCAATTGGAATTGGGAGAAAAGATGGTGATTGACTTCTCGGCGTCATGGTGTGGACCTTGTAAGATGATTGACTTTTTCTCTGAAAATCTCGGTGATGTTGAATTCGTCAAATGTGAAAGCTTCTCAATTTGCTAACTTTCCATAATTGTTCTTCCTAATTTGTAATCGGATGCTGATGAGCTTCCTGTAAGTATCTCCACCGGAGTCTTTCTTAGTTGATCTTGTTTTACCTACTGTAATGCTAATTTGCCTGCTGTCAAGGTTTCAACTTTCTTTGTCTCTGGTATTCTCTCATCACCACGCTTGATCCATAAGTCATGATATTCTATTTCTTGAGAAGAAGTTAGATAGCTTTATGGTAGGATTCTTATATAAGATAAGAGTTTGTTGAAATGAGAATCAAAGATTCTGTAACGGTTTATACACTTTACCACCAAAGTCTCCAACTGGTTTCAGGTGGTTCAAGGCCATGAGGGACCCTTTGGGCGTGTGCCAATTTAAGTTGAAGCTCTTCTCTCTTGGATCTCTTCTCCCTCAAACAATAACGAATGGAGAACTTCAATGGATCAAGTTGAATACCCAAATCACACCAGCTCAGCGTAAGACCAACCACGGGATCTTGTTACGAAGATCAGTTCTTGGCTGATCGTGCTGACTTGCAGGTACACTGCAGAGGCAAGCATCCTGAAATCCTTTACTTCCTTTACGTGAACACTTGGCACTTTAGATGCTCTCTGAAACGTGAAGCTCTCATCATCATTACTATAAAGAAGCAATCATTATGATACTTTTTTGATTTTTCTAAACTTGGAATATACTTACAGGAAAGAAGTTAGTTTCGTAAGCAGCCCAGAAGAAAGTGACAGTTATCATCATTATGAGATGGTTTCACTCGATCCTTTGAGATTGTCATGACGGTACCTGCTATCACCGACCAGAATCAGACTCTGTAGTAGACATGGATCAGACTTGTATTGACAAGGTTCTAGTGAAAAGACAGACCATCATTGAAGATTGCTATGAATGGTGGGAAGTCGAGTTCCCAAATGATGCCGAGCAGTGAGAAACGGAGCTGCGTAATGGGAATTAATGGCGAAGAAAGATTTGTTGAGAGAGAACTATGTATGATACACTTCATTACAAACGAAAGATGGACATGTGAGTACCACTATGAGAACAGTGATGGAGACGGCGTATATCTGCAGGAAAATAAAAGGAGAGATTCGTGAATTTGAGTTCAGGATTTTGAGTTTGTTTGGATAATTATGGAGAAGGGACTTACTGTGTAGTAGTTCTTCACCCTCTGGAAAATAGCTCTACTCGTGAGGACAGCACTAATAATAACACTGAGACCAGGTTCTGTAAGAACGCGCTGACACAGTCGCATCAGCAACAGCTATGCCTATATCCGCGTTCTTGAGAGTAGATGCAGCTTAGTGTTCTTGAAGCTAATGCTTAATGGCGGTTTCGTTACCTGGTATGCTACTGCAAGTGACCGTTATATATCGCGAGATGAACTCTGCCTTGGATCTCGGATTTATTGTGCACAAGGTTCAGAATCTGAGAAGCAAAATCACAAGATTCTTGTAAGCTTTTTCTTTGCTCAAAACTTTGATGGATAGATTCTTTCAGACCAAGTTAGATTCCTTGTATTTATTTGTTTAGTTCTGTAGACAAACATATAAGTTCATAATACAAGATTGGATTTAACATCTGGACATACTCAAAGAATCCATAGAAGCACAAGGTTTCGAAATCTTGGGTTCGTTCATGATATTGAGAGATGATGCTGATCATCAAGCATGTCCTAATCGATTTCACATCTCCAAAGAATTTGTAGAATAAAGTAAACAAATTGGATTGGTTTGTTATTGAGGATATGTGCAACACTTCCAGAACAAAACAATCAAACAAAAAAAAAGCTTCTCTAATCCTAAATTTTACAAAATCAGATTCGTAAATTCTCCAAGAGATCCTCTACTTTGACGCTAGCTTTGATTGCCTTGGCACAAGCTCTATTTGCTTTGGGTCTAGCTTTCGTTATCTCAAGATTAGGAGCAATTCTCTTCCTCCTTGCTCTTGCTTTGCATCTAGCCGGAGCAATTATCTCCATCCTCTCCGTCCAAGCTTGTGACATCATCTTCTTCAGAAGATGAGGTTTACCTCTAACGAAATCGTCATGTCCATACTCATCCAAATGCCCATTCCCAATGACCCTTTTAAAGCCATGACACTCGAGCTCTATGACAAACCGTTTGTAATTCCTGCCCAATCCTACTGATTTCGAGAGAATCTCTGCGCAAAGCCTTGTTACATCCCAAACGATGAAAGTGTTGTTGCTTTCGCTCCAAGAGATGATTGAATCCAACGAAGGATCATCCACGATCGTGTACACTTTGGTGTAGAACGCAGGCAATTCCTTTGGGATTCCCATCGATTCTCCTTATCTGTGAATTAAAACCCTAGAAGAAGTGCAGAACCACAAACTGATCAAAGCACGAATAGTCCGAAGTAGTAGTAAACCTGAGAGATCTTCGATTAGGGTTTTAAGGTTTTGACGACTCCAGTGAAATTAGCTTTTCGCTTGCAGGGGAAAGGGTGTATATGTAAATTACACAGAGATGGGCGTGAACGTTATTTTTTTCATTTGCTGGGCTTAACTAAAGCCCATCATTAAGCGGGCCAAAATAAACGCGTTGTTTAATAAGTTAATTAGGCCTATCATCAATACTTTATCTGTTGTGCATCCAAGATAAACAAATACAGTAGAAGGAAAGTAGAATTTGCTTTTGGTTGAGGTACGGAGGAGGATGATGTTTTTTTTTAGGAAACGCAATTTTTTAGAGGCATACGACATAAACCCTGAGAAAGAAGAAGTCAGCCTTGTGAAATACAATGAAATTGAGGATGTAAACAGCAGCTTACTTATCTTGTGAATGTTTTGTGTAGCCTTTTAGTTCGAATTTGGATTTGCTAAGAATTGATCTACTTATAGTTGACTGAACAACACTGAAACGTCATTTGCATCATGTTCAAGCAGAAGCAGAGAATGTCGCAATTATTCAGATAAAGACGCAAACTTTATAACTCAGAGGCTAGCACAAGTGGTCAATCAAAGATCATAGAAAACAATCTATATGAGACCAACACAAGAAGACAGAGCAAGGATCAATCATCGAACATGATCTAACTGTTTGTCCTTAAGAGCAGCATTTGCCTAATTTCAGATTCTTCTGACAAAGCTAAAACACTAAGTAATCCTAAACCCCAACATATATTACAACACAATTCCTTTAGTGAAGATATGAACAGCATCTTCACCATCTCACTCTTGCAGACATGAACAAAATGGTCAATAGCAATGCCCCCTTTGCAAGAAAGTTTCAAAAGAGAAGATCCGCCTAAGTAAGCAGCATCCTTCGTATTCGTGGTTTCATTGCTCTCCTTTGGTTAGGTTTGGTATAAGAGGGAAAGAAGATAAGGCTTTGTACATATATAGTACTCTTACTATACAATGCTGATTCAGAAGATAGGCTCTTTCATCTTCTGATTTGTTTCTTTGTAATAGGCAAGAAGATGTCAAAGACAATGGATTCGTTCGTGAACATTACTTAGGATCAAAAACGCTAAGGTTTAAAGAGATAAAAGCATAGCACATAAGTGAAGTAAGAACATCTTTTTTCATACAAAACCAAATATTTATACCGAATTGCAATAGATCAAAAACATTTATACCAGATGTTGATTACAAACCATACATTGTTTCTTAACAGAAGATAACAAATTTCACCATTATACATATTAAAGACAGAGAGATTCAAATTTGCAAATTTTGAAAGAGATTCTCGACTTGTTTTCTTGCTTTCTTTGCCTTAGCTTTAGATTTCTTTGCTTGACGTTCGCATCAAACATCTCCACCTTCTTCTTCAAAAGCTTACTCTTGACGAAATCTTGGCGTCCAAATTCAGATCTTCCGATTTGTTTGAACCCTTGATAGCGAAGCTCGGACACAAACTCAGAGATGTTCCTACCAAACTCTGCAGATTTCGGAAGAATCCTTGTGCGAAACCCTCCTAGATCCCATAAGACGAAACTATCGTTGGTTTCGCTCCACGAGACGATTGAATCCAACGAAGGATCATCCACAATCTGATACAATCTGATGAAGAACGAATTCAACCCCGGATGGAAACTTTGAACCATCTTTAAACAAAAGCACTTTCGAATCAGAGAAAATTAAGAAATCTGAAATTTGTTTTGTTGTAAGTACTGACCAAAGGAACGAAGAACTCTGATTCTAATGCGTGCGGCAGAGGAGAAGGGTAGGTCAATATATTTATAGATGGAGCTGCAAAATGTAATTAACGGTCAAGATTAAACCTACAAAGTTTCCTTTTTGTATTGACGGTCAGATTAAACCTACAAAGTTTCCTTTTTGTTTTTTGCTTTCTATTTCCTTTTTTTTTTCTTTTGAGATATCCTTCTTTTCTTATAAAGAAATTAACGGTCAATATTTAATATTAAAAATTACAGAATCCGTGTCACATAACAACTAACATTTATTTTCTATATAAAGCCCCAAAAACGACATCGTGTCGTCACACTTGACCAAACACTAATACGCACCGTTTCTCTTCCTTCGCAGTCTCTCTCTTCTCCAGTCTCCACCATTGTTTCCGTTCTGAGCGTTCTCCCCGTTAGCCAGATGAGTTTTGCGAACAAAAATTGAACAAGGCAAAGAGATCACGGAGACAGCAAATTGATTTTTCTGTCCTGCTTGCTGCCAGAAATTGGCCTCTACGGTTGCAGAATTAAAGGTGAGCTTCTCTGATAGAGTCGTCGAGTCCCTTTTCCCTAATCGCTTAAGATTCTTGTGAAGACGAGCATAGTTGCATCTGTGTAATTTCATGCGTTTTTTGATTGTTGTTTCTTTGTAGAAAGGTGAGCTGAAGGTGAACAAATGCGATTTGAAGCTTCAAGTTTCGGCTCTGAACAGGTAATACGAAGAGAAAGATTGAGTGAGAGACGAAGAATCTTTCGCATATGGAGGAACTTGAAAAACTCTGTTTGAGGCTAATTATTGCGGTTTCATTGAGAATGGAAGCTGAAGCAGTTAGCTTATACGTTTCTGGATGTTCAGACTCTTGGTGACAGAAACCTGCGAAAGCTTGCTTTCTCTCACATTGTTCAAACCATTCGTAAGATGACTAGTATCACTGAGCCAAGGCACAAATCACTTGAGAAGATTGTGATCTCTATGTTGGAGGTAAATTCTTGTTCTTTTTCCTTTTCATGGGATTGTGTAACTGAGTTTATGATGCGATTGTTTGTAGTAGATGATCATTTAGCTTTGTGTCTTCTGTTTGTAGCAAGAAGATGAAACGAAGGCTAAGAGAGCACAAGAGAAAGGTCTGGCTTGGTGATAGAGATGACAGAGTATGTTGATATGATAACATTGGCTTGTCGAATCACTAACTTCTCTTTTAACATGTTCAGGATCATGATTTCTTCCCTTGGGATTCTTCTTGACGATGATGATGATAGTGAAAGCAAGCATCCCAGGTTGTGATCAACAGAGAGGCTGTTTACAAGATGAAACAATGAATTTTGCCAGCAAGTATGAAGAAGACACTTACTAGCTCTTGATGGAAGTTTCCACCTTTATAGTTTTCTATATTATTTTGATCATTGCAGTTTGAAATCGACAGAGCTAAAAGCCGTATCGAAGAGCTTGGAACTATTCTTTGAAATCTTTGTAATGAGCACTAATAGACAGTGTAATTGCTTGTCAAAATCGAAATTAATTTTGAATAAGAAATAAATAGTCAAAGTAGATATGTAATCAAGACTAAAAGTCAAGATGTGCATTTGTTATATATTGAAAGTATTAGGGTAATTATGCAAAATTATAAAAGAATTTTTTTTTAAAATAAATCTTTATTGACTTATTTAATAAAATTATCAATATTTTATTTATAATTTTGTATAATATCAATAAATCTTTATTAATTGAGTCGAATTATTTTACGGAATATTTCCATTTCTCTTATCCTTATCAAATAATGAATAAAGATTTTTGGAATATTTCTATTTCCTCTGTCAAACAAGGAATAAAGGTTTTCGGAATATTTATGTTTTTCCTTAACCTTGTCGAACAAGGAACAAAGATATTCGGAATATTTCCGTTTATCTGCTGTGAGTAATAAGGAAAATTCCTTGTATCACAAACCTCTCTTCCACTATAAATAAGGACCTCTCTCATTCATTATTCTTCATCCAGAAAAGCAAAAAGCTTTCAAACACAAAATCCAGCAAATTCCTCTCGTCTCTACAGTCTTAGGTGAGTCTCGAGAGTATAGCGTATAATTTTCAGTTCGCAGATTCTATAGTCGGGTGCTGCGACTTTAGTCTCAACACGGTTGTATCATAGGATTCTGAATCTCTTCAAACCGCCACACTGCGGGAGATTTAAAGAATTAAGGAAAGAGATCATATCTTGACTCCGTGTTTTTCGTCTCTTTTCTTAATCGTTTTATTCAATCGTTTTATACTATATTATTATTTATATAGATTTCAATAGTTTTATATTCGTGATTTTCATTCTGGATTTTCGCGGTCCTACAATCTTAATTCTTTAAATCTGTTTCCTGATAATCGCTTGAATCGGATTGAATATTGCAAACAATACTTCAAAAATGATTTCATAAAACGATTTTAAAACGTTTTCTGATCGATCTACAACGCTTCTGCGATTGTCTTATAGCCAACCGTAGAACGTTTGATCTTAAAAACAGACGATTATCATAAAGATACAAAACGATTTCCACGTCAGCCCTAGGCAGGATCGCGAAACGTTTGTCTATAAACGATCTTATAGATCTGAAACATAGCGTTTAAGAACACCTTTAGGTGATTTCTGGGAACGACTATTAGGGTTTAAGAATGCTTTTAGGCGATTTCTGTGAACAATTAATAGCGAATTAAACGTTTTAATTGCTTATCTGAATTGAGTTCTCAAATCATGTTGAAAGAACAACCAAACCTCTTGGCTTAATCCACACTGATTTGTGCGATTTAAAGTATATACAAACAAGGGGTGGTAAGAAGTACTTCATGACTTTCATTGATGATTGCACAAGATATTGTTACGTCTACTTACTGCGAAGTAAAGACGAAGTCTTGGACAAATTCAAAGAGTAAAAGCTCGAAGTTGAAAACCAACTGGGAAAAACCATTAAGATGGTTAGAAGTGATAGAGGAGGCGAGTATGATGAACCTTTCAACGCTTTCTATCAAGAAAAAGGCATCATACATCAAACAACCACTCCTTACTCACCAGAATCTAACGGAGTTGCAGAGAGAAAGAATCGCACTCTGAAAGAGATGATGAATGCAATGTTGCGGGAATCTGGGACACCCCAGAATCTGTGGGGGGGAAGTGCTGCTCACCACAAACTACATCCTCAACAAAATTCTACACAAGATTACTGGCAAAACGCCATATGAACTTTGGAAAGGAACTGTACCTTCGTACAAATACCTCAAAGTGTGGGGGTTCTTAGCAAAAGTCGTTGTGCCACCTCCTAAGAAGCTGACAATTGGGCCTAAAACGGTTGATTGCATCTTCATCGGATATGCACATAATAGTAGGGCTTATCGATTCCTAGTACATAAGTCAGATGTACCAGACATCCATGTCAACACGATAATGGAATCTAGGAATGTGTCTTTCTTTGAAAACATCTTTTCATGCAAAGAGAAACAAAGTAAGAAACACACTCATGATGAAAGAGACGCTAGCATCTCTGTAAATGAGGAGAGCACTTCTGGTATTTCAGTTGATGAAGCAGAAGATGAAGAAGATGAACCTAGACGTAGCAAGAGAGCATGCAAGGAAAAATCTTTTGGTGATGATTTCTTAATGGTGTTTCTCACAGAGAATGAGCCGAGATCATACACAGAAGCCATGTCTACACCTGATGCATCTTTCTAGAAAGAAGCAGTTAATAGTGAAATTGATTCTATAATGCAGAATCATACCTATGAGATCACTGATTTACCTCAAGGTTTCAAAGCACTAGTGTGTAGATGGATATTCAAAACCAAGTTGAAAACTGATGGTTCAATTGAGAAGTACAAGGCCAGACTTGTGGTTCAAGGATTCAGACAAAAAGAAGGTCTAGATTTCTTCGATACCTATTCTCCAGTAACAAGAATAACTTCAATAAGAATTCTGATAGGAGTTGCAGCCCTAAGAGGACTCGAAATCCATCAGATGGATGTAAAAACGGCATTTCTAAACGGTGATCTAGAAGAGGAGATTTCATGAAGCAACCCGAAGGATTTATGGTCCCGGGTCAAGAACACAAAGTCTGTAGCCTTGTGAAGTCATTGTATGGTCTGAAACAAGCTCCAAAGCAATGGCATGAAAAGTTTGACAATGTAATGATGTCAAATGGTTTCAGCATAAATGAGTGTGATAAGTGCATCTACATCAAAAGTACTCCTTACAGGTATATCTTGCTGTGTTTATACGTTGATGACATGCTCATCATAGGAAGTAACAATGATATCATCCAACAAACCAAGACAATATTTAGTGGTCAGTTTGACATGAAAGACATGGGTCTTGCGGATGTTATCCTTGGCATAAAGATTACACACACCTCTGAAGGCATCACTTTGTCTCAAGGTCATTATGCTGAAAAGATTCTTGAGAGGTTCAAGGCCTACTCAAACAGAACTACGAAGACTCCCGTGGTTTTGCAACTACACTTGACAAAGAACTCTGGTAAAGCTGTTTCACAAGTGGAATATACAAGGGTCATTGGCAGTCTTATGTACTTTACCAATTGTACACGACCAGACCTTGCACATGATGTCAACGTGTTAAGTCGTTACACAAGTAATCCAAGTCATACACACTGGAAAGCCATAACAAGTGTATTAAATTATTTGCGATACACCAAGAGTTATGGGCTGCACTACGGTAAAGAACCAGCATCTTTGGAAGGATACAGTGATGCAAACTGGATATCAGACTCAAAGAATTCGAAATCCACAAGTGGAGGTGCAACAGTATCTTGGAAATCTTCCAAACAAACTTTGTTAGCAAGATCCACAATGGAATCTGAGTTCATAGCGCTAGACAAGGCAGCAGAGGAAGCAGAATGGCTATGGAATTTCCTTGAAGACATCCCCATGTGGGAGAAACCAGTGCCAGCATTACGAGTGCATTGTGATAGTCAATCAGCAATAGCTCGGGCATTGAGTAACCTTTATAATGGCAAGTCTCGTCACATCAGAAGGCGACATAAGACCATTAGACATTTGATCTCAACGGGTGTAATCTCGGTCGATTACATTAAGTCAGCTGACAACCTTGCGGAGCCGTTCACTAAAGGTTTAAATAGAGATCAAGTTTTGAAATCATCAAAGGGAATGGGTTTATTGCTTATGACTAAAGAGGATGTTTGATGGAAACACCACTTATGTGATTGGAGATCCCAAGATCTAAGTTCAAAGGGACAACCAAGTCGAACAGAGTCTGATGAAAGCACTGAAAGACATAACGTCTGTGCCCATCTCCCAAAATGATGTACAGTGCTCTCTGTAAGTATTAAAGGATAAGTTTTATACTTTTAATGATTTTGAGTAGCTTTCATAATATAGAGTATAACAGGATACTTGTGTATATGTCAGAAGCTCAAATAAATCACCTAGTAAGTGTGAAATGCGGCCGTTTCTAGGAGGATGAAGACAAGGCTATATCTCCAAGTTCACTCATGACAACCAGGCAAGTTCACGGCCACAATGAACACAATAGAAAACTTAGTTCTACGAGAAGATGAGACTGGATTGTACATGTTGTCTAAGTTTACATAAAAATCCGAGAGGTTCAAGACATCATGTTCACCTCCTGACCAAGTAAACTCGACAGATATCAACAATGAATAGTTCAAGGCTGAAATATGCTACTATATCATACACAGTTAATTTTTCGCCTATACTCTCAAAAAGTCCTAGTGTCAAGTCCTAATGTGTCTGCATAGTCTTTCGAGTTAGTAGAGTCTGCATATGTTTTAGAGTAATTTCTATTCATGTGGGGGATTGTTGGAACTTAAATTTTGGCAATTATGGATTCTTTGAAATCTTTGTAATGAGCAATAATAGACAGTGTAATTACTTGTCAAAATCGAAGTTAATTTTGAATAAGAAATAAATGGTTAAAGTGGATATGTAATCAAGACTAAAAGTCAAGATGTGCATTTGTTATATATTAGAAGTATAAGGACAATTATGCAAAACCATAAAAAAATTTCTTTTTTGAAATAAATCTTTATTGACTTATTTAATAAAATTGTCAATATTCTATTTATAATTTTGTATAATATTGATAAATCTTTATTGATTGAGTCAAATTATACTACGGAATATTTCCATTTCTCTTATCCTTGTCAAATAAGGAATAAAGATTTGTGGAATATTTCTATTTCCTCTGTCAAACAAGGAATAAAGGTTTTCAGAATATTTCCGTTTTTCCTTAACCTTGTCGAACAAGAAACAAAGATATTCGGAATATTTCTGTTTATCTGCTGTGAGTAATAAGGAAAATTCCTTGTATTACAAACCTCTCTTCCACTATAAATAAGGACCTCTCTCATTCATTATTCTTCATCCAGAAAAGCAATAAGCTTTCAAACACAAAATCCAGCAAATCCCTCTCGTCTCTATAGTCTTAGGTGAGTCTCGAGAGTATAGCGTAGAACTTTCAGTTCGCAGATTCTATAGTCGGGTGCTGCGACTTTAGTCTCAACATGGTTGTATCCTGGGATTCTGAATCTCTTCAAACCGCCACACTGCGGGAGATTTAAAGAATTAAGGAAAGAGATCATATCTCGACTCCGTGTTTTTTGTCTCTTTTCTTAATCGTTTTATTC